ATTTTCGCAGACAAGACAAGAATCAGCTCTTGTTACTCCATTTAAATTTATACATATATCTCCAGAATACCTCCAACATGTTCACCTTTCACTGTCTTCAAGTTCAAGAAGACCAAACAAACTTAAAACATCAATTATCACGGTGTGCATTTTTCTTCCCTCTTTTCCAACACAGCTGCAAGATTATGGAATTGCCTACCGCCTTCTCTTACCTCTATAACCAGCCTCCCCGAATTCAAGCATTCTCTCTATCAGCATTTTCGCCGACATTCATTACACTGACGGTATCCCAACTCCTTAATAACCAGATTTTGTATGCCTCGATCTATTTCCTTAGCCTATCCTCGATTAACTGCTCCCTCTACATAAAGTTGTCATTTCATTCTTCTTGCAGGAGATCCCCTCGATAGGCCTAAAGCCTTTGGGAAATCCTTAAACATAATAAAATACAAAATACAAATAGACACACGTCTTTCTTCTCTCTCTCTGACTCCTCATGACTTTTCTTTCATTATCCTGGGTGGTTACCAATAGCCTGTGCATGCCGGAGTATGTGGTGTGATGTGTGTGCAGGAAAATAAATAAATACTTGTAAATAAATAAGACCAAAAAGTAGGGATTCAATGGCCAGAAAAAGCCACTTCATCTCTGTGTTGTGTAGACCAGCTGAATAGTGGCGGTCAATTCTTTAGGCTTGCAAGCTGTTGAATGGTGCATAAGCCGGGGTTCGAACCATGCTTCTAACTAAGTTATTCAAGTTATGCTTCTATTCAAAACATGCTTCAATGTCATAAGTCTAAGCTGTGCAGTGCATACTGCCATGCACGTACTTGCACGTGTACCTTGCAGAGATTGGCTTCTATTCAAATCGTGCTTCTGTGCGACGACAGGCTTCGAAAAATTGGCGTCCGTTCGTGTCATGCTTTTATACGCGACACTAAGTAGGTTGTCGCAAAGATGGGCACACTTGTATTTAGCTGCCGCCGCTAGTCGAGACTGCTCGGTCCGGTCACTGAGGACAGGGGTGCGGCAGCACATGCCAGAAAGACCGGCTTGGAAGAACTAAGGAGGCTTGCAAGTCGATTTCTCCGATTTCGCTCAAATTTTGCAGGTAGGTCTCCTTTGGGGGTGTAGATCGACTGTGCTAAAGCCTTGAGGAAGAATATGAAGGAGAGCGTGAAACTGGCATACCCCTCCGTAATGACCCAACAAAACAGATGTCTGGGTCTGGGTTTACAAACAAGCCATGGTGCAGCGTACACAAACAAACTATGAGTAAAATGCCTTCAAACCAACTTGTCTCACGTTAGAAGAGCTCCAAGGGCAGCACAACTTAGCCATGCCAGCATTCAAGAAGACGGGGTCAGCAGCCCGTTTTCGTTCCGTTTCGTTCTCGTCTAAACGGCAAAAACGTTTTACTAGTATGAGCCTTGTACTCAAAACATGCCGCCGCCAGCCTGCGCCAGGCCAACTTTTTGCACGTGACCATTGCGCGCCGAAAAAAGTGTTGCAGTGTACACGATTTTCGTTTTTGTGTAAACAGCAAAAACGTTTCGAAAACTATTGAAAAATGTTTTTCAATCGTTGTCGTGTAAATGAGGCCTAAGTCTTCGGGGGCGGACTACAGAAGACGATCCGAGTCGGAGGGTCGAGATCCTTATGCTCGCCATCCTACAGCAATGCGGATAGATATCTCGAAGGATAAAATCGAAAAATTTGGAGTCGTAGATCACGGTGGTGTACGTCGGCGCTACAGATGTGAGTTTGATCAAACCGAAGCTCGATCGCGATGACATCGCTTCTTTCCTCACCCAGAGCTTGTCAGAATCCTAGCTCCTTCAGGTTCCACCTCAGCCTATCGACAGTCTATTGGCTAGCTTGCAGGATTCAATTAAACCCATCAATTTAAAATCACTTTTTTTTCTTTTCTTTTTCTCCTTCGCCATTGGCTGAGAGGTAAACTACACACAAACAAATCGACTTGATCGTGAAGGCTTGCACAAATATGCGCATGCGCATATGCCACCTTCATGAAACAAACAATCTCTTTCCGACAGAACAAGGGCCTTCAGTACAGTGGGGTTCCGCCCTAACTCTGATCATCACACATACAAATGCAAAAAGGAGATCTTCCGATAGACCTTAGGGCTTAGGGAGTACTGAAATAGAGTTTATCGCTATTTTTAAGGTGTTCTCCCTTGGTCAGGATGTACAAGGAAAACTCACCGGGATTCCAGCACTTGACATCCGTCTTGGCCGTAGTGCCGCTCAGTGCTAAAGCCAGCACAATGATGATCGGTATTATCGTCATGCCGCCTGTCTTACAGTCAGCCAGTAGTAGGGGAACAAGCTGGGATTGGCTAGTATTAAAGAAAGATCAACTTCAACCTCGCAATGCAACGTCACTTTGAAATGGCAATCGTCTGGCAAGAAAGAAGGGTTCTTGATGCCCTTGCATCTGGTTATATACGAAAGCGCCCCGTCTCTCCCATCCGCCCCTCCCTGACTTCTTGTCAGGGACGTGATTGATTGTATCCTCGTATGACTCTGTCGCAGTCTGTGATGCCGTACTGCACTGCGGACGCGTGCTCGACCCCTTTGGAAATGTACGCCACAGTGCCCACCCTCCTGACCAGGGATCGCACAAACCCTGCGTTTTGTTAGTTCGTCTCCTGGCTCTTGACCTTTGCCTTTGGTCGGTGTACGAGATGCACGAACAGTTTTCGTAGGGTGAGTACTTTTTCATGTAGCACTGAATGCGGCAAGTAGGACTCGCCCATCCGCCCCTCCCCACCTGAAGCGTCGAGGAGGTAGGGGCGCTCTGGCGGGATTTTACCGTAGTACTACTTCTTTTTTTTTTAATCAGGCACCCATTTTGATAGTCCAGGGGATAGCTAGCCCACGCCTTGTAAAAAGAATAAACAGAAAAAGAAAAGAAAAACTCCCTGGTTCTAACCTAAGTAGACAATCATAGAGGTCTGGCAGGACTTTACGTAGACAATCGAATATTAATCATAGAGGGCTGGCCGGGCTTTACGGCTGAATCAAGGCCGAGTGCGTAGATTCTACGGCCAAGGGCGCAGGCCAAGGCGCGTAGCGCCGAGGCCTGCGCCCGCAGCTTGTGAGTTTCAGCTCCGTCCGCTTCTCATGGATGGGATGATCCTTGGTCCATGACCTTTCGCTTCCTCAAAATTATCAGAAAGGTTCGGCAACTCGTCAACTCCTTTTTTAGTACATGTAGAACAGAAAGTGGAAAACTGATGGCGATGTTTGCCACTTATTTCAGCTTGCTTCTTAGCAGATAGATGTAGATGGGTGCATGCTCTTTCGCTTATTCACAACTATCGTAAAATGTCTTCTCCACTCACGACAACAAGAACTTGAGTTGAAAACTGACCACGATGTGTCGACACTTTTCATGTTGCCGTTTTTGGACAGGCTGTTTTCAGGTACCGTATACCATGTACCATGTACCAGAGCATGTTCACAGTCGAATGTGAGATGTGAACTGAGCTGACAACGAAAAACTGCCACAGACCCCTGCAGAGCTAGGCTGACAGAGTACGGGGTGCCATTGACGACGGGCTTTATTGCTACCGTATTTTTCCGTATCCATTGACCACGGGCTTTATCGGCTCATCAAGGCCACCGCGGGAACGTCGCTCATTGGCTACAACCATAGTAGTAGTAGTAGTAGTAGTATTTATTATTTTACTAGGGCAATCCCCACAGACTGTGAGTCTTTTTACAGGGTACCCTAGGTAAGTGCGTGAAATAGAGCTGAATGAAGAAAGCCGTAAGTGCGTGAAATAGAGTAAAGAAAAAAGAAAACGGTGGCTGCATACTGTGCCATTATGTGTTGCAAAAGAGGCTGCGAAGAGTACTGTTGAACATTGCAAAGGAGGCTGCCTGGCGGCATGCTGCTGGAAGCGAATTCCACCTGTCAGCAGCCAGGTAAGGCAAAGCATAGAAACGGTACGGTAAAAATCTGAAGCCGCGGTAAAGGCACCCCCCACCGCTTTGGAGTCACGTCGAAGGAAGGCAATCACCCCTCCCGCTGCCCTGCGCACAGCTACAGGAGGATAAATAAATTAAAATTAAAATTCAATATCGAACACGAATAAAATTTAAAAAAATATATATTTAAAGAGTCGGCGTGGAGAAAGCAATTTTATTAGTGCAATTAGGAGTATAATAGATGCAGACATGGCCAGACAACAACGAGTTCATGGAATTTTTAAGGATTTTTATGTTATTCAAAATCGATTTTCGTGTTCCGCTCATCAGTGAATAGTATCGGAACTGAGGGTACTGTGTACAAAAATAGAACATTTTATAACAGCATAATTAAAAGTGTGAACAAAAAAGGAAGTGCTACAGCATTACATAATAGGTGTCAAACATAGTGCTAACATATATAACTGAGTGCAGGCACAAAGCATGAGGTGATACAGTGCAACATGACACAACATTTACATCTGATAACCAGCTACGAGAACAACTTTAGCGCGACTACATGCTTCTTTTGTTTACAAAGAACAGGATTATGCACACGAATACATACAGCTTCCAGAACCTTCAACTGCTTAACATAACTTGCGCGGCACAAAACAGAAAAGTGAGAATCATCGTACACAGTTATATAATGTTAGCACTATGTTTGACACCTATTATGTAATGCTGTAGCACTTCCTTTTTGTTCACACTTTTAATTATGCTGTTATAAAATGTTCTTTTTTGTACACAGTACCCTCAGTTCCGATACTATTCACTGATGAGCGGAACACGAAAATCGATTTTGAATAACATAAAAATCCTTAAAAATTCCATGAACTCGTTGTTGTCTGGCCATGTCTGCATCTATTATACTCCTAATTGCACTAATATAAATATATATGTAAAAAAATAAACAATATCGAACACGGAATTAATTCCGGAACTATCTACTCAACCAACTCATAATGCAATACCCGCACACTGTGTCAGTGATGGAACTCCGCTACCCGATCAACATGCATCGTACAGTGCCTCGTTGTCTTCAGGAAATCATGAGGCCCCCGTGGACATGCATGATGAAGGAATTTAGGACGTGTATGTCCGAACCAGGCAGGCACAGTGGGTTGGTCAAAGACCATGATTGAGATACGAGAGGTACCTGGTTCAAGTCCTGCCTGGGAGCGGTTTTTTCCAGCCGTGCTGCTACCCACAGTCAACTGGGAACTTGTGGCCAGGCACAAGGGGTACATGGATGCAGCTAATGGGCAGTGCTGCCAAATAATTTTCGCCCAAAATCGGACACCCTTCACCGCCAAGGTTGGCCACATGGTGCGAATTTTTCTCCTCGGCAATTGTTTTACAGAAAATTCAAAATATCGCCTAAAACACCATGAAAATTCGCTTCGTTGCCATGGTAACCCCTGAGTTGTCATGAATTTTGTAATGATGAGTGTGGTCGCACACTGACTCTGTACAGACTGTCAGTGTACATGCCATCCAGCCTGATCCAGGCATGTTACATGTTACTTTGCACTTCCACAGCCAAGCGCTAGCCTTTTTAGAAGCAAATGTACAGTGATGTGTGCCTTCAGTTGCGCTGAAAAGTGAAAGTACAGGACTTCTGCATAGGAAAGTAAATGATCTCCGACATTTTGGCTGTTTTTCGGACGTTTCCCTTTTCGGACCGGTTTTCGGAAGAGCCTTCAAAAATCGGACACTGTCCGAAAAATCGGACGGTTTGGCAGCACTGAATGGGGCCGTTCTCGGCACTTGTGCAAGTGGTTGTGAGACTTATCCACTCACCCCCACCGTTAGGCGCTGCGTCTGCCGCTAGGATTTACCGGGTGTTAGCGGCCGTCGTGAGTTCCCTTCGGGAACGGACACGATAATTTTAATTTATGTCCGAGTTGTGACAGCTCTGAAGGCAAGACTTGGTGATCTGGAGCGGGAAAGGACGGACCTTGCCGCCACGGTACGGTTTTTGACAGACGACGCCAGCAATACAGCAGTGCAAGGCGGACCAGTTGGTGCACCATTGACCTCTGACGCGGCAAATGCAGGACCGGTACGCGGTACGCGGTAGTTCAACTCGAACCATACAACCTCTCCGACATCATTCCAGAGGAGGTTGAGAGGTCCAACCGTAGATCTACTACCAGCGTCATAGTACGAGGACTGCCTGCATCATGGAATGAAACCCTGCATTGCAGTACTCTGTTCAAATGTTCGACCTCTGACCTGCTGGAAGTCGAACGTTTGCGCCCACGCGCTACTGAACATGGATTCGCAGCCTTTCGATTGGTCGAATCCGGATCCGGATCCTTCGGATTTGGATCCGGTCAACCCACCTCGGGGAGCAGGGTTGACCGGATCCAACGGATCCAAATGTGACCTTTGTGCGTATATGGCGGGTAAAACTCGTTTTTGTACACATTGTGGTACGCACACGTGGATCGAGATAGAGCTTGCTGACTTTTTGTACAACTGGCGCGGTGAGTACGACTTTTTATTACTTCGTCCACATGGCAACAGTCAAGGCTCAAAAAAGTGTCCAGTTGACTCTGAACAAGAGTACATGAAAACCAGAGTGTGCAGCTCGCATGGGTTGCTAGCTGTCACGGCGAAATTCCGTGATTACATCATTTTAGTGATGTAGTGCGTACAAGCAGGATTCAAGCAGGTCTCTTTCTGCACAACTGCAGCTCAGTTGTACGCACTACGCCACTTCCCGCCTCAGATCTGGGCCAAATATGATGTAATCACGGAATTTCGCCGGCGCCGTGACAGACACCCATAGCAGAAAAGGCCCCAAGCTGCACACTCTGGTTTTCATGTACTCTTGCTCTGAAGGATCCGACGGATCTGAGATCTGGATCCCGATCCTTACCAATCGAACATGCCCTAAGCCGGCGACTCCGTGACCTGTAGTCGAGGGGTACCTCAAGGCTCTGTCCTGGGCCCCGTTCTTTTCACAATCTACACAAGACACGTAACAGACGTCACACCAACTCACACATCTAACATACTCTACGCCGACGATATAGGACTCTACACATCGAGCAGCTGCATCAACACGATACAGGACCGACTATCAGAGAGCTTCGATGCGGTTAAATCACACCTCACGGAACTGGGCCTCCTACTGAACCCCGACAAAACTCAACTATTAATCGTTCGCCGGAAGACAACCCCATTTCCACCTACCTTCACTGTCATCTGTGGTAACTTCCCAGTATCCCCTTCCCAGTGTGTCCGTTACCTTGGAGTGCTAGTCGACCAGCACCTTGCCTTCAAGGAGCAGGTCGGGAAAGTTGTTGCTGACGTCAACCGTAAGCTGGCCGCATTCCGCAGAATACGACATCACATCACCACCCAGGCACAACGTTCCTTTTACCTAAGCATTATCCAATCCACCATGGAGTACGCCAGCAACTGCTA